TTGGAGAAGGGAGAGGGATCTGATCAAGGAAACAGCAAGATTCTCAGAGTTTCGAGAGTCTGCATGAAGCTAAAGACCAGGCATTGCCAGAAGCACTGGGCTACGTGATGGTGGGATTTTCTCAACAGCACACAGAGGCTGGATGCAGGCACCGGGAGGGGTTGGTCTCAGGTCAGAGTTCCACCAGGAATGCACAGTGGGGAGACCGTGGGGATGAGTTGAGGATATTGGGCAAGAGAGGTTGGCATAATGGATCCCAAAATCTAAACTGGTGTTGGATGAAGAGAAAAGACAAGAGGGGGCTGATGGAGAGACAAGGCAGAGTGATCTGCATCGAGAGGCTCCCACTGGGTGGCAGGTGAGGTATAGAGAGAAACCTGACACATGTCCCTCCTGGGCTTAACAGTTAAATTCTAGGCTTTCAGCCATGTCACCTGGATATTTGGAAGCTGGAAAAATATGCTCTAGAAACTGCCAAATCTGGTCCAGTCGAAGTGGTCCTCGCACCATATCCAGTCATATCCCATATGAGACCTTGGGCCTTCTGGAGACACTCAGGCCTCCCTGGAGAAGCTCCCTCCAAGCCCCAGGGGACGTATATGTTTCCCCTCCTCCTCAGCTTCTGCCCAAGGACAGGGGCTGCCTTCTTGACTGTTCTCCAGGACCAGCAAGACCCCCCTGGGCAAAGCCTTGGAAGTCACCCCAGGGACCTGAAGGGCTGGGCCTGGCCAGGGGTGGGGCATTCCACTTCTACCCTCACAGCCTGCCTTGCCAAACCTGAAGCTTGCACCTGACACTTCTCGGCCCCCATTTCTCCCAGCCCAAGCAAGGTGGGAGAAAGTCCAACAACCAAGAGGTTCCTTCTAAGTGTTTTATTGTTACTTCGAGGTGAGATATTGGCACCATTGTTGATAAAGTAGGCAAGGTGCAGCTAACTTGCTTGAACCGCAACTTCTCAATCAATGAAACGGGAGTGCCTGCCCAGCAGGGCTGCTGTAAGGATGCGCTAGAATATCAGTGCTATTATAATTGTTGTTGTTTGTGTTGTTATTGTTATATTCTACAGCACCAGAGATACCAATTCAAATCCTTTGCTGTCCTGACCAGATCTTCTGACCTGAGTCTTGGGAAACAGATGTTCAAATCCCCAGCCCAGAAGTGAATGAGGGAGGAAGCCTGGCAAGCTCCTCCCTCAGGATTAACACTGGCTGCAAATGGTGGGGAGCTGTTGCCCTGGGGGTGCCCACAGGGGTATAGCTAACATTTGCAAAGCACTTGGCCTGTTCTAGTTCACGTGTATCACTCACATAGCCCTGCTAACAACCGTGAGCTAAGTGCTATTGTGCTCCCCATTTTACTGAGAAGTTGGAGCACTGAGGGGTTAAGGAACTCACCCAAGGTCACACAGCATGCAAATGACAGATCTTGGATTTGAATCCAACTCACTTTGCCACTTTGCTAGGATGCTGCTGGAGTTTCTTCAACATCATGTCTGTGGTTTTGTGTGACCCCTTTCTTTGGCCTCCACACAAGACAAGAGATGTGGCCTTGCCTTCGGAGGCAGCGGGACAATGCAGCCAGGAAGCTGGGTTGTCTTCCACAGTCAGGTCTGGGCTGGGTTTCCCAGGGCAGGGTAGATAGTGGCAGCTACTGAGGCGTGAAGGACAAGGGGCATGGCTGGGGACAGATGCAGGCTGGCGCCAGGACCTAAAGCCAAAAGAGGCCAGACCAGAGACAGGATCTGGCTGAGTCCCAGCAACCCTGGCCCTTTCAGCCTGTGGACCCTGTCATGCTGTCCTTTTGTGCCTGGCCCAGGCATGCAGAACACAGTGGGGACAGATTCCTCTGAGGAATCAAACAAGGCTTTGAAGGCCAGGGTCCAAGGTTCCTGTGACTCCAGGCCCTGACCCAGCCAGGCTTGACACCCAACAGGAGGTTCTGAGAGGAGGTCTTTGTGGGGTACAGGCTCAGGAAAAGCAGCTGCTCATCTGGGATTGGGCTGCACTTTCTCCTGGCTCCCTCAGAGGTTCTGACTCAGGTCCCAAAGTGTGTGGAAACAGGGACAGCTGAGCAGCTCTCAGCACAGAATTGCACACAGGGCAGCCCCTCCATGGTGGGAATTGAGGGAGCCCCAGGGAGGGGACAGGCCCAGCTACGTGCAGCAGCTCTTCCCTCAGAGGCCAGGACGTGCCCCTAGCCCCTCAGGTCTGCCGCTCAGGGTCTGGGACTGGGGCAGCCTCTGCTGCTTTCTCAGACACAGGGACTTCCCAGGCCTGCGAGGGTCAGTTACTGGGTTGGGGCCATGTGAGCCGGGCTCTTCGCTGGCTGCTTCGTCCCCGCCTCCCCGCCAGGCCCTCCTCTGCTGACAGTCCCTGAGATGTGTCCCCCACTCAGTCCTGAGCACCTCCTGTCACTCTGCCCCTCCCTGGCAATTTCATCCTCTCCTGCTCTCAGTGATGCTATTGCTATGTATTCCCAAACCCATGTCCGCAGACTGGACCTCTTCCCTGTGAATCCAGCTGTCCCTGCGCATCTCCCCCTGGAAGCCCCTCATGCAACACTGCATCCCCATTCCCCAGCCTGCTTTTCCTCAGGGCACCCAACCACCAAGCCAGAGGCCAGGGCGGCTTCGCTAGTGCCTTCCTACTCCCCATATCCAAAATCAATAAGTCCTGTCAACCCTGCCTCCTTCCCATCTCTGGAATGTTTCCCATGCCACACCTTAGTCAGGTCTGATCACCTGTCTCTCCATCTCTCCCCTCCAATCCGCCTCTGCACAGCAGCCAGAATGACTTTCCTATCATGATTATGTCACTTCCTCACCAAAAAACATCCACACACAAGCCTCGATTGCTCTCAGGTTGGAGTATACACTCTGTATCTCGGCATCCAAGGCCCTAGCTGATCTGATCCACTCTCCGGCTTACCCTCTATATTCAGGTCCTCCTTACCCTCCTGCCTTTTTCTCAAGCACCTCACTACCTTAGCTGTTCCCTCACTGTCCTCCTCTGCTGGCTCTTTCCTCAAAGGGCAGACACGTGTGGCATGGCCATCTGGCTCATGAAGACTGCCCCATGTCTGGGAATGACCTGGAGCAAACATGTGGGCTCCCCAAACCATGTATGTGCTACAGGACCCCACCCCCCAGTCGTAGCTGACTAGACCAGTGGTGAGACCTGACCCAAACTGGGTGTCGAGCTCTTTTACCTGCCCGTAATCCTGCCGACTGTGCCAATTGTCGAGCTAGGGCTGGGTCTGGAGCTCACAGACCTCTCAAGCGCATTCACAGACTGGGTCACAAACCCTTCACACATCAGTCTGGGTCCCCAGACCCCTCACACACAGGTCTATGAGCTAGGTAACTGGCAAAAGGTCCTTGGAAACCATAGGTTGGAAAGCATGATTGCACGAGGCGGCCGCCCGAGGCAGTAGAAAACACCAGCCAGGTTGCGGCACCGCCCATGCGCACTAACTCCACCCCACCCCACCCCCACACACAATTTGCTTACAAAAAATGCTCCACACCACCCCCAACCTGACCTTAGGCAAGGGGACCTGATTAAATTATTCTATTTTCCCAACACTGGACCAAACAGATTCATGTGCCTGAGTACTCGAAACTTGGAATTGAGAGTTTGGGGGCTTTAGGTGTGGACAGTCTCATCAATGCCCCTAAATGACAGCAGGCTGGAGGTACAATGCCTGACCTCTGGCAGCTGGGACTGCCAGCCTCAAGACAGCCATCCCTTTGAGTCTATGTAACAGCCAGGATTCTTCTCCAAACCTCTCCCTATTACTTGCCATTAAGAACAGTGTACTCGAGTCCCTCCCCTCTTAAAAGTGCCTCCCTTCTTCCGTCTCCCCACCAGCGAACATGACCCCATCCTTCCCTTCCTCTTCCTCAAGATTCCTGACAGTCTCCACTTCCCCTCTTTCATCCATTCACTCCACAGCCCACAATAATTCAAAAAATTCATCACGTTTCTTTAGCAGCCACCTTATATGAGAATCTGAGGATCTGGAACAAGACACACAGCCTGGGGCCTCAGATTCTCATATAAGGGAGCCCACAGCCTAGCAGTGAGTACAGGCGCAGGAAGGCGTGAGTGCAAACTGTAATCAAGATTTGAATCAAATGTGGCCAGGGCAATAAAAGAGACACTCACAGGGGGTTATTAAGAGGTGTCCTGCAGGAGGGGACGTCAGAGCAATGTCTTCCAGCTATAAATAATAAGTTCTAGTTCAGGAAAAATAAAAAGGAGTGACAACTTTATATTTTTATTCAAAATGAAAATAGATTTATTAATCCCTGTGAAAAAACATAATATGTTATAACCAGATTACCTACTTTATTGACAGGAAAAAATTTCAGTGAGATACTTGGCCCTGGTTTTCACCTGCTCAAAGGTTATCATCTGGGCAGGCCCCGTGGGGCCTATTGACCAAGGTTTTCATCACTGTCTCAGAGGCTTTAGGTGAAGCGTGTAGGGCCATCTGGGCAGGGGAACAGTGCGTGCAAAGCTGCAGGGAGAAGGCACATGGTGGAGGACGGAGGATGGCACACACTTAGCTCAGCAGGGAGTGAAGGAGGAGAAGGTAAGAAAGGAAACCAAAAGGCTGACAGAGGCCTGGTCACAGAGGGCCTTCTTTCTATCATCAGGCCTTCATTAAACTTTATCCTGAGAACATCAGGGAGCCATTGAGGGTTATTGAGCAAGACAGGGTCACTGTCACTGTGGTGACTAGTGTCAGGGAAGGGAGAATTGCTCTACCTGTGGTCAACCCTTAAGCCCTAGCCACTCTGTCCCTGAGGCTCGAGGCTCCCATGTAGTAACCACTGTCCTTAAGCTGTCAGGCATGGATGGAGGAGGGGAGTGTCCAAAGATTGGGGCTCAGAGGGAGAAGTGGTCCCTGCTACCATCTGTCCCCAGCTCGCCAGCCCCAGGCTGAATGTAATTGTCCTCGATGAAGCCATCATCATCCTCATCTTCACCCACCTCTGGGCGGTTTCCTCTCCCTGTCCCAGGCAGCGGGCGGTGCTGGTAGCTGGCATGGTACTGGCGGCAAAGGTGGCATTTGGCAGCAAGTGCGATGAGGAGAGAAAGGACCACAGCCCCCAGCACAACCCCTACCAGCACGGGCCATGCCCGGGCCCCAGTGCCAGGTCCAGGGGCCACGGCTGATGCTGTAGGGAGCTCCGAGGGCCCCACAAGGGCTGCAGAGAAAGGGACAGCATTATGGGTGGGGCCCCAGATGGGGCTCCCTGGGGAAACTGAGGGTCCCTTCTCTAATCCCAGCATCTAAGGGGAGCCCACCCCTCCTCAATCACCATCCCACTGTCACTTACTTTGGTTTGTCTCATTCATGGAGGGGCCTGATGACACCAGTGAGCCTCAGCCTCCACCAGGAAGAGCCCTAACTCCAAGGAGACCCTCAGATACCAGGCAGCCTCAGGGCACAAGTCCTGGAAAATACACATAGGGGTGGGTGTCAGGGGTGGCCACAGGGTGCATATGCTACGTCAGGGATACAAGCTGAGTACACAGAAACTGGCTATTTGTAAGAAACCATTGCAAGTCCAGCTCCAGAAACTACTAAAAATAAATAAATAAATTCTAGAACTTACTGAGCGCTCTTTATGATTCAGGCACTGGGCAATGCGCTCACAAAACCTTATAGGATGTGTATAAACTATATCCCCCTTTATAGATGAGGGCTCCGAGGCCAAGAAAAGTGAACTGTTGCAACCAAAATCCTAGGATTCGAATCCAGGTCTCTGTTACCAGAGCCCAGCCTGCTACGCTGCTTGGTAGGTGAGGACAGGAGATGGGGCACAGGTAGGCACTGGCTCCCAAAGGCTGGAGATAAACCCTAGGACTTATAAACAGCTTGGAGCTACCCAGCCAAAGTAGAGACCACATGCGGAGGTTGATGCAAGTCCCCAAGGCAGCCCTGGCCCCTCTGCTCCTGAGTTGGAAGCCACTGCCACCCACACCCTCCCTGTGTGTTCACCTCCTGTGTGTTCACCTCCCTATGTGTTCACCTCCAACCACAGGAGGCCCACGCACTGCCCTCAGAGGGAGGCTCAAGTCAGGGAGTATCCAAACAAGGATCACCTGAATCAGGAAGTCATCTGCATGTGAATCACCTAGGGCTGGGGCGCCTAGAGGAGGAACACCCGAACTACTGGAGTAGCTGGAGGAAGAGCACAAGGCTTGGGAACGCCTGGAGGAGGATCCCCTGAGTCTGGGGTATCTAGAGGAAGAGCACCAAGGGTAGGGAAGTACCTGGAGGAGGAACAGCTGGGGCTGAAGAGTATCTGCAGGTCGAGCTCCTGAATCATAGGAGGCCCTGGGGCAGAGTAGCCAGGCTAGGGAGGTACCTAGGAGATAAGCCCCAATGTTAGGGGAGTACCCCTTCATATTCCTTAATACAGATACCTCAGCCTGTCACCAAGCCCTATCAGTTCTTCCTCTAAATATCTCTGGAATGACTATGTCCCTACCACCCACCCCAGCACCACTGCTGAGTCCAAGCCACCTTCATCGTGTACCTTGACTCTAGCCATAATCTAACTGGTCTCTCCCCATCTCTGGTGTATGCCCAGAGCCACAGGCATGAAGATCAAATCTGACCTTATTACTCCCCTGCTTAAAATCCCTCAAGAGCTCCCATGCCCCTCAGGGCTGCATGCACATTCCTCAGCAAGTTCAAGGTCTCCCAATCCAGTACACGGCCCTCAAGGCAAACTCTTGCCCCTTTCCTCCACAGTTCCCTCCACCATGCTCCACACACACACCCCTCCCCACTCACCCACCCTCTTGCTCCCCCACCACCCACTCCTCAACTTTTTGAGCCCCCATCCCTCAAGGCCAAATCAGACCATACCTGCCCATAAGGCTGTCCCAGGATCCCCCCCGGGTGACCCCTCTATTGTTCTGCCCAGTCAACCACCTGTCAGAACTGGCGGCTATTGGACAGGCAGCTCACTGAAGGCAGGGTTGGGGCTGATTCCTCTGCCCAGGTGAGTGGGCGGGCACTCGGCTGCTCAGCAGTGTTTAGGGGAGAAGGAGGAAAGGTGGGTTGTTCATTCATTCATTAGCAAGCATTCATTGGTTGCTTGTTGTGGGCCTCATGCTCGACACTGAGTCCTCAAAAAATGAGAATTCGTTCAATTGAAAGGAATCAAATCAATCTGACATTTCTAAGATTTCACTCCTATTCCTTTCCTCTTTGCTCCATCCCTGTGAATCCTTCCCAAGGACACACACATATATATGATAACCTTCCAAGGGCATACAGACACTCCCCAAAAGGCCTCTGAACTCACAGCCCACAGTGGCCTGCCCATCCCCTCAATACACAGACACACAGACACACAGACACACACACACACACACACACACACACACAGAGTCTGTCACTCCACCCCCCCAGGTCACACTTTTCTCCACAAACACACCCCCCACCCCGCAATCTGCACAGACACACACCCCCCACCCAGATATGTAGCTTCTTTCCAGTGCCTGGGAGCCCCTGGGGATATGTGTAGAGCCTGGGTGCCCCCTCCCAGGCCCCCCAAAGTCTTCCCCCTCTGCTCCCACCTTCAGGAACTGTGCACAGTCCGAGGAGGAAGCTTCCGGCTGTGGCTGGCAGAACCTAGACAGGTGGGCGGGCCAGAGCTGCGCTTGACTCACCTGGGGAGGCAGCGGGGCGGGGCGGAAGCTGCAGGTGAGGGGAGGGCTGGGCGGCAGGCTGCGCCTCCAACAGGGATTCACCTTAGGTCTTCCCAAGCTTTTGCCAAGAACTTTATAGGTGCAGCCCTACCCCCCACCTCCAATGCTGGGGGGAGAGGCTGGGGCAACTGGGATCCAGGGAGGGGTCCAGCGGGCTCTAGAAGGGGCAAACACCTCAGCAGGCAGCCACTCAAGCTGGTGGCCCTGGTAAACAAGTGAATTTCCGGTGGCAGGTACAAAGTCCAGAGTTAAAGCAGGAGATTTGCAGTCCTGGGAAGGCAATGGGCTGGAAAGGGAGGGCGGGGGGTAAGGGGTGG